GAAGCGATGCGGGCATCTTTTCCATAGAAGCACCCAACGAGGCTTCATTGGCACTAGGGTAGTCATCAGAGGAAATAGCAAGGTTTTCAATATCGCGCCTAAGAGCGGTAGCGGCAGTGTAAAGTAATTGATCTTCATTTAATGTATCCTTGATATCTGCAGACACACCTTGGTGTAGTTCTGAAAGTCTTAACATAGACTTCAATTTTCCAGCAGCAGATATGGCCTCCCCTAAATAAGCTCAGAGCTAAACACTATATTTGACATCCTTGTCCCCGCTGTGTCTGAATTGTAATTGAGCTGCCATAATAACTAATTAGTTTGTTCTGAAGTTTAACAGATGGGTAAGTATCGGAGAGAAGAACAGATCATCATTAACAATCGTTATTAATGATTTGCAAGCAAGTTCGTGTTCTGATTCTCCAGTTACTGTATTGCCTGATTGCACAGGTGTTGACTTCAATAAATACTTGGTAATGCATGCTGAATGGTAGACTGCATTTGAAAAAAATCTGTACTCGCGGCTATCTTTACCATGGATAAATCATTACTCACATTAGCGCACCTCTAAAAACTGTCAACACGTTCACGCGACTCGATTTTGTGTAGTTTTCTGTCCTTTTTAACGGTTTTGTTTTTGCACAAAAAACATTTTTTCATATCCAAACTACAAGGAGGAAACTGAGCGCGAGTTCGTAAAAATGTATCAAGTTGTGAGGATACATGTGGATCAGATTGATCACATAATTATTTGGCTTTCTGTTTCTAATGTAAAGACGCTACAATTTTGCCTGATGGTGTATATCTTGTAACATGACCGATGATACACAAGTCTTTCATCCAAGGAAAGCAGATTATCAAGAGAAGCTAGTTGTTGCATCACCCTGTCGCACACCAAATCTCTGCGAATATCCATAGCTTCAATAACACTTTTTCCCCGACAGCTCGCATGCATATTAATTGCTCTGGAGTTGAACATTGACACACAATGCAATTTTCCCCACACATTATCATTCTTTCTCATATTGCAACTAGTAGGAGTAAACTTTACAGGACTACCATAACTAACCATTATCCGGAAAAAAATCTTATCCAAAGGATTCGGTTAACTTTTATAAAAAGTCAAAATTTAATGAACAAAAATATAATTTATTTACAGAAAATACACAAAAGAACAACAATATAAAATCAAATCACACTTCAAAATCTCAAAAATGATTAATTAATCAAAGAAAATTTACAAAATCACATCGAAACTATCAAATTCATTGTGAAGCAAAACAACCTATTAGGTGGCACGGTAGTATTTACATTCCGGAATTTAGGTTGCTCCTTTGTGTACCCTACTTTTAAAAGTCAATATATCTGAACAGTGTGATTGGACAAAAAAATACAGTATCTACTGAACATACTTTCCCAAACTGAGGGATGAATCAGGTGTAGAAAAATATGAAATAATTTTACATGCAGGTGAAAATGAATTTTGAGAATTTTTTAAATTTTGTATTCACTGCATGATAAAAGACCTAAAAGCACAAGTGGCCTTATATTTATAAAGATAGCAAAAAATGTAAACGGTCATGCTACATATTCAAATTCATTTCTGAATATTATAATGAAAGTACTTCAGTTAAATGTGTATGTAGAATTTTGGGCAGTGTTAGAAAGTGGTGAAAATTCTAAAAAGGATATCATTATCCCTATGGGAAGGAAATATACTACCGTGCCACCATGAACGAACTTGATAGATGATAACTATAAATGATGGAGCTGATTGACGGATATGAAATTTCCGTAATAAAAAAAAGTACAAGTGATGTTTTTATTTTTGAGTTTTTGACAGAACTGTTAAGAATTTGACCATCTAAATTTGCATGCAGTATCACAATAATATATTGTTTCCTCTCAAATGTCAAATACTATTTTTGAATCATATACGTTTTCTCGTTTTCAAAGAAAAATGCGTTAAATTTCCATCTAAAAAACTGCCAACTTTAAGTTTAAAAGTTTTATTCGGGGATGGTATTATATTTATTTCTTCATCATTCCGATGATCCTTGATGATATGTGCATCGAAAATATATACGAACAGGGAAACATTCTTTTGGGGGGATTTTAAGGTGACTACCCAAAACCGTAAATTTAGGGGTACCCGATAAACAGGCTAAATACAAAAATGTGACCAAAGAAACTTTGTACGACCAGACGGAAATCAAAATATAGATATTATTCTTTCATTTAAAACAATTGCCAGCCATGTGTTATTCCGGTACATTAAACTCGTTCATTAAGCGTCTTTTTCGTGGTCAGTAGCAGTACTAGTATGTACAGTTTTGAGAGATCACAGTTTACAAAACATTTAAAACCAAAGTAAATGCTGTCAAATAGTTATGTGATATTTGAAAACATTTTTCAGTGTCGATCATACATGTATATGTTAATCTATGCATTTTATTTGCCAATAATTTCTTGCGTAAAAGTTGTATTGGAAATATTTATATTTGCAAAATAGTTTTGAGAGTCCGCGGTTTAATTTAATTTTGTATTTGTCGTTTTTATTTGTAAAGATTTGCATGCTATTTAGGAAACCCAAAAAGATTTTTAATCATCTATATAGACTCAAACTTATTCATAAGAACAGGCAGAATTTATACCCAAACTTTAAATTTTCTTTAATATAGTTTCATTATTTAATAAATTTTGGAAAGATGTTTCCTTTTGGCATGTGTAAAAATTCATTTGCGATAATACTCCAGAGGTGGAATGCACATTAATGGAGGAAGAAGAAGCCATATACACTTATGTGGAATGAACAAGGACAATGTAAAAACGTATTGCTAAAAATATAAACAAACATGTCGGAGTTTCAAAATAATCTAAATTTGAGATAAATAGTTAGAGCTTAAAAATGTATCTGGTCTAGATACGTAATGTCTATTAATATGCTGGTGAAGTGTGGGACAATTGTGGTATTTGCTATTCTAACAAATTAGAAAAAAAATATATGTTTTTCCTTGTGCATCAGTAGGTGGTTTGCTCATATGATGCAATGAAAGTGGCACCATTAATCCTGTGTTATTATTTAAAGAACAGACGTTTACACATATATAACTTTTAAAACGATACTGATCACAGAGACATTTAAAACCTCAAAGACGACTTTTAGATTCAAGCTTATAATATGAAAAAAACAAACTGGCAATGCTATTGCAAAAAAAAAGACAAAAAGAAAAACAACAGCACACAATACACGAGATAGAAAATTAAAGGCTGAGCAACAGGAACCCGACAATAAAACCGGGGTGATTTCAGGTTTCCGGAAGGGTAAGACGATCATGCTCTACATGTGGCACCCGTCGTGTTGCTCGTGTAAGTACAGACCTGGTGGTAAGTCTAATTCATAAAGTTATATTAAAGAGCGTATAGTTTTTTCTTCTCTTTTGTAAAAGAGAGGCGAAAGATACCAAGCAGAGGGACATTCAAACTCAAAAGTTGAAAACAAACTGACAAAAAAAAGACCAAGAGACGAACTATAGTACACAAAACACAACATAGAGAACTAAAGACTGAGCAACATGAACCCCACCAAAAACTTAGGTTGTTCTCAGATGCTCTGGAAGAGTAAGCAGTTCCTGCTCCACATGTGGCACCCGTCGTATTGCTCATGCTAGTACAAACCCGGTAATAAGTCTAAATCGGTAGGTCACATTCGGGAAAAAGGGACGGGATTGTAGTTACGACATTAGGAACATATCCGCTATCATCTGTGAAACGAATATTTCATAACGGTCAACCAACACGTGATGGCATCTGTAAAACTTACGAAGGGATGATTTCAACTTCAACACATTGAACTCTTGGTTGAATAGCTTCCTTGTGAGCTGCAACCCTCTACCAAGGAAATCATTATAGGAAATACAAGCCCTGGAATATCGTATCAACTGGGAGATATATACTCCGTATGCAGGCGATGCTGGAATGGTGCTACAAAGAAATGGAAAGTTCACAATTGGGAAGCTGAAATCATCTCTTTTGTCGTAAAGTTTTGTTTTCAACCGACTTTCATTGTCAATTTCTAGATGTAAGTCAAGATATGTACCATTATATCTGTTTCAATAGCAACTCAAAAGTCATTTCTCATCAGTAACATCGTTAGCAGCATGTGCTCCTTACCAAAAAACTGCGCCAACATAGTTATGAAGAAAAAACAAATAAAATCGACACTATATAAAGTCGACGGTAATTGTATAATTACACCCAAAGTTAATTCTCTCTATATTTACCCTACAATCAGCCAACTATTGTAGAAATAACATGTATAAAAATAATGTTTTGCTTTTTCTTGCATAATATACAAATAAACTATTGTTCTATCCTGCTGCGATGTTAAACGAAGGGTAATATTAAATTATTGTTTGCGCTAAGCTCATTTTTGGATATTCTTAGCGGTCCACAATAAAGTATAGAAAAAATATGATATACACATACAAGCAACAACCTTTGAATTACAGACTCCCGACTTGGCATTTTAATGGCTTGTTTTATCCTGCAAAAACAAATATATGATTCTAGTTAATCATACTTGAGCGTCCAATATGCACGAAATAGACCATACAAAAAATGTTTTTGCCGAGGCTCGACAAGATTTCTGTGCGAATAATATGTGATTCTGAAATATATTAACCTTCAAGAGGAACGCTCGTGACCTTCGGTTTGTAAGCCAAGATATGAATCGCATGAAAACATAAAGAAAAAGAGCCAAAACAGTCTAATGGAAAGCTTGCTTGAGGAAGTTTCAGCAGAGTTACATAATCTGGAAATAAGAAAGAACAAAAGTATCATTTAGATCAAGAAAAACCGAAGTAAATGGTAGAGTCCGAGAATACCATCCCATCTGTAAGTTACAGAGCCGAAGCCGAAGGTATCGACCCTGTGACAGTAAAAAGCAAAGAGTAAAATTTTCGTGTTTCTAGAATCATATGACTAAGGACTGACAAGTATAAACATTTATCTATTTATTGGTGAATGATAAGAAAATTAAATGGTTTGTGATATGTCTATACTTTTCGTTTCTAAAGATGCTGTTCGGCCCACTCATTTAAAGCGTTGAATGCATCAGTCTGTTGCTTTTCGTTCATTCCGAATTTCTGAAGAAAGTTTTTGCACTTTTCTTTGTCCATATTACGTATTAGGAAATGGCCCAAAAGCTGTTGTGCCTAAAATAAGAGAAAGTATTACGTTTTACAAAATTGTCTAAGCAAAAAGGAATACCAATAAACTGGACTTTTATTTCTTTCTGGGTTTTTTTAAAAAGAGATTAAAAAAAGTATACGAGTCTTAAGATCAAAATGAACTTAGAGTGCTCTAGTTAATAAACAAGCATAACAACAATAGCATTCTTATCAAATAATTGATGCTAGTAGACAAGATAGTTTCATAACATCCCTTTGTGTAAGCATTTTATTGGCTATGCTTCTATATATCTATATATATATATATATATGTTACGGTGAATTTGTAGAATTAGGGATTATGTATCATCACTGGTAACTTTAGTGATTATATATAATTACTAAAATTTTCAGGAATTATATATAATCACCAGAAAAATGTCAGGGAGTATGCATAATAACTGGAATGAAGAGACAATGAATAAAAGTACAATAACTCATTGTATAAAATCTTTAGAAACATAAATATCAAAATCTTAAGCACAATATTCTTATACAAATCAATTATTTTTACAAACTACATTGTACATTTGGTCGATATGTACTATGTGGGTCTGGATAGGGGGTTCCTTATTTTTTTATTCTTTAATTATTTAGAACATTTTTCTCTATACTTTATTTATTATTCTCTATTCTGTATATTTTAGCACACTGTTATTCTCTATTCTTATTTATTCTCTATTTTTGTCTATTCTTTATTGTTTAACCCTTTTATTTTGCACTGTTTATCCTTTATGTTCTCTATTCTGTAAACCACATCCAGACTCTTTACTATTGAATATTGGCTCTGATTATCCTTTTTATTTTTGCAACAACAAAAAACACCCAAAAACCCCCTTAGACTTTACATATTGAATCTGCACATGGAAGAGAAATAAAGTGTGCATTCGAAATATCTGAAGGTACTTAAAAAGTCAATCAAACACCTCAATTTGATTCCTTGTGTATTATCTAAGCATAATTTCATGTTTCGTAGTCAGCCATTATCCTTTCAGCCCTTTTATGAACGATGGCCATTATGTTTTTTTTTTGTTTTTTTGTTGTTGTTTTTTTTTTTGGTCTCCCTTTCCATGAACAACATCCGGAATTGGTATTACAGCCTCCTCCAAAATTGTGTTCAATCTTTCAAGCATGTGTTCTGTTTGTGTTTCTGGATGTTTAGTGTATTTCTTTGCTTAGTTCGAATTCCTTGTTTGTTAACTTTCACCCCCTTTATTTTACAGAAAATTACATGATCTATGCATTTATATTGGTAATTTTAATTTCAATTTAAGATACTTACTTGTTTATGCGTTAAAGTGGTTTATCGCAGTTAAATAGAATATCACCAGAGAAACTGTTCATTTTATTAAGATTTGATAAATGGACAGGGAATGAAAACTGTCCACTTAACCCATAAAGAGGTTATGATTTATTTATCTGTATTTGATTTTTTTTTACCAAACAGATAATCTTTGTATTATTGATTATCCCTGAAACATTCCAGGGAATTTGTAAAATAATTCTTAAAATTTTCAGTGATTATGTAAAATCATTGGTCATTTTCAGAGATTATATATACTCACTAATGATGTTAGTGATTATGTAAAATCCCTGAAAAAACAGGGATTCTACATAATCCTTGATTATACAAATTCACTGCAACATATATAAGATAAAGACAAAATGTAGTTATTCTTACTTTAGTGATTTCCTCTTTACTGAGTCTTTCTTTTGATTTATCACCGATTCCTGGTACATCTTCAACTCCAACACCTTTAATAGATTTACTTGTAAAAGTTGCATGTTTTGCTGATGGTGTCGCCATTGTCGTGGAAATATTGAAGATCTGACTGATCTGTAAGTTAAAGAAAATATATACTAGTCATTAGCAGATGCATGAAACTCACTCTATATTATTCCTCTGTGGAACGATAACTTTAAATTCCCCAGTAGAAAGTTTCTTTTCCCGACAACTCTCAACTGCAATGTCATATGAACTTAATATCTTTAAACGTAACTGCAACTTTATTTGTACAATCTGAACACTCTTTCGAGTTAAAAAATTAAAGCTTTAATGGCTATAATAAAGATATCGATAAACATCATTATTCGCGTATCTTTAATAAATACGAGTAATATGACAAAACTGAGAAACTTTCCTTTTTCTGCTAATTATTGTTGTTCAAAATCAGCACCAACTCTTGAGTTTTTTTACGCTCCCTTTTAAATTGTCCGGTTTTCGCTGTATTTGTTGTCGTGTATAGGGTGCCATAAGAGGATATCTATAACGATATATTTTATCAGCCAGAAAAACTATCCCTTCAGGAAAGTCAAGCTCTGTATTTCTACCAGTTGACCTCATCGTTGCTTACTGCTGCTCGTCATTTTGATGTCCCAGAAACCCGGAATCAATATAACAAATGTTGCCTAAATTATCGATAACGACCTTAATATGGATGCAATGAAAATGGCAATGTCCCGATAAATAAAGCTTCTGAGTTTCAATTAGTGACCTGTAAATTTCCATTGAGTTACCGTCAATAGCGTCCCCTGCCATTTGGAGTTTTTCCCAGTTTTTCATTTTTGCTCTCCATTCATTTAGAGATGGCAACTGTACAAGATTGAGAAAATGTTGGTAAAACATGGAAATGCATCAATTAATTTCATCATGTTTTGTGGTGACGCTTACGTCAAAAATTAAAGTTAACATATGATAATACGGATATGATCTTAGCTGAAGCATGAACAACTTTACTCTATTTATAGGATAAGTGTGTGTGGCCTACCAGTGTTACGCTGGAATATATCATTTCCAATTTGTTTTAAAATTTATAAAAGGATTTTGGGTGATTCTCCACTTGTTTGATAAAAGTAGTATCTTTGACGTAAAAACATTTGATAAAAAGACTATCTTTGACGTGAAAACATTTGAAAAAAGGACTATCTTTCACGTGAAAACATTTGATAAAAGGAGTATTTTTGGCGTGAAAACATCTGATAAAAGAACTATCTTTGACGTGAAAACATTTGATAAAAGGAGTATCTTTGACGTGAAAACATTTGATAAAAGGAGTATCTTTCACGTGAAAACATTTGATAAAAGGAGTATCTTTCACGTGAAAACATTTGGTAAAAGGAGTATTTTTGACGTGAAAAAATTTGATAAAAGAACTATCTTTGACGTGAAAACATTTGATAAAAGGAGTATCTTTGACGTGAAAACATTTGATAAAAGGAGTATCTTTGACGTGAAAACATTTGATAAAAGGAGTATCTCTGACGTGAAAACATTTGATAAAAGGAGTATCTCTGACGTGAAAACATTTGGTAAAAGGAGTATCTTTGACGTGAAAACATCTGATAAAAGGAGTATCTTTGACGTGAAAACATTTGATAAAAGGAGTTATGATTGTGGCCTGTTATATATTCCTGGCATGAAGTGATATTTCTCGTATCACACTGCACTCTCTCATTGTTTTCGTTTATTAAACATGTAGCCACATCTTTCGAGACATTGTGTATTATGGGATGACCAACAGGTAAGATTACCTGTGAATAATTTTCAACCTATAAGTTATTGTGAACTTTTATTTCCGAAAATGTCTAATATTAAGAATAAAACAAGGAAAGTTGAAGTTTCAAATGTCCTCTTAACATGATTAACAGGATGTTTTTCTCTTTACTTTTACATTAAAAAAATATATATTAAATCTACTAATGTTTTTAGGTCTCCTAATATAAAAATTAGGTAAAGCGTATTTTTTTAGGTAAACTATTTCTATCATATTCATATTACCTAACATAAAACCAAGAGGATAAGGTACGATTGTTAATGATACTTTGGGTCCTCAATGCTCTTCAACTTCGTGCTTTTGATTCGAGCGTCACTGATGAGTCTTTTGTAAACGAAACTCGAGTCTGACGAACAAGATGTTAATCCTGGTATCTATGATAAGTTTATTTTGGTATTTTTTAAATACTCCGTCGTAAATTTGTAAAGTAATGTGAAGAATGAGCAGGAATTAATGTTACTTGGGTTTGTACTTTCATGAGCAGAACGACGGTTGCCACATGTGGAGCAGGATCTGCTTACTTTTCCGGAGCACCGGAAATCACTTCCAGTTTTAATGGGGTTTTTTGTTGCTCAATTTTAGTTTTCTATGTTGTTTTTTGTAGACTATTATTTTTCTTTTGGTTGTTTTCTTTTCTTTTTTTTTTTTTGCCAAGGCATTGTCAGTTAGTTTCGACTTATGATTTTTTTTTATTCCTTTGGTATCTTTCGCCCTCTTTTACGTGTCATTTGGACCACTTCAAAACACCTCGTGGGTGTTGTCTTCAACCCGAAATAACAGAATCCTTATGTAATGTGTACAAAATGTGACAAAACAGTCCACTAAAATAGCAAAACAAAAATCTTTGATTTCAAATCGATGAAAATTACTTACATGCGCAAATTCTACAAGAAAATTGCAGTTTCACTATCCTTTTCTGTACTTAATTTTGTAGTTTTGGTCTATCAAATTGAAAGTCCAATATGATAAAATGCGACTGTTCCAGGTATTTTTCTACCTGTACCATGCATGATGGGTCACATACGTATTTGGGACGTTTTAAAAAAATGTTGAATTTTCAGTACACCTTCTTTTATATGTTTTTTTTTTTTTAATTTTTCATGGACAAATGCAGATGTAAGTGTTTAGATATAGGTTAACAGGATTTATGAGTCGGAAAATCAATAATGAATACGATTTATTATATCTATTTTGATCAGATTAAAATATATTTAAGTCCGATTTTTGCGTAATTTATGTGCGTACAGTGTCAGGGTAACACATTACAAATGATTTTTTTCCTATTTTCTGTTTGCATTGATATCTGCAACGGATTATTTTGGAGTATAAAAGATAACTCTAACTAAAAATCACAGCTTCTTTATTAGTATATGTAACATGTGTTCTTTATAAACTCAGCGTACATCCTGTTACCGACACTAGATCAACAGTTAAATCCCCCCCCTTTATGAATATAGAACTATTCATCGATGATTTCAAAACTACGAAGGGTCCTAAAAAGTTAACGCACCACGTTTCTAACAGTCTAGAGAAAAGAAAATTTAAGACATTTTATGAAAATCATTAGTGGTTACCCTTATCTCACGTCTATGCTGTTACCAACAAATTTATTAATTCCAACAATATTATACTTGTAAAAAGTGCAATAACGTGATGAAAACCCAAATCACAACAGAGAAACCTTATAACTGCATCAGAGGGGATAGTTATTTCACAACATCATTCATATTTGAAGAAATTTGTCTATCCTGTTACAATGGTTAGAGCAACATGAGAGACCAGATTTGACTGAAACGTCTTTAAAAAGTATATAATTACATAAACTTTTACACATAATGAAATATTTGGTTGTTTGAGATCATTTTAAGGTTACAACGTCTTAATCTTCGCAATTTAGCATATACAAAATGCAATACTGTTATTGGTAACAGGATAGACAAAAAGGGTAACAGGATAGACAAAAAGGGTAACAGGATAGACAAAAAGGGTAACAGGACAGAATGTGATATCATGGTGATATCGTTAACGTACTTTCCTGTTACCAAAATCAAAACGACAAAAGTAAGCCATTATGTGAGGGAATTATTTGATGTTAGATTTATTAGAAAGAGTAAAAAATGCTGAACATTATGAATTGCTATATGAGACTAGCCTTACTGATGGTTAGTTTTATGACCTTTGAAAACCAATTGTTAGAGTTATTTTTCAGTTCAACATTGAACATTGACTAATAATCTATCATTACACAGAATGAAAATATATAGAAGTTTTTACTCTTGAAAACCATCTTATTGACCATGAAAAACAAGCTTAAAATTTTATCGAAATCTTTTCTAAATAACCAAAAATATCTTTTGAACATGGTAGCGATAGACAAAATATTGCACCACCTATCAAAAATGTTTCCATACATTTTTGTATGACATTATCAAGATTGTATCTTTTCATAAGTTGTTCCATAAGTATTGTTTGTTTTGATTTGCTTATGAAGAGGTTGGTTTGAATTAGTAATTTAAATTCAATTTTGCTATATCAAGATTCGACATTTGTTGAAAATGACCCAACTTTCATTAAACCCATTTGCGTCAAGGCAAAGTATATAATTGAGCATGTATATCATGCGTGTATAATATTTATTACACATTAAACATGTTAAAGTAGATTGACATGTGATAACACATACATGAAGCTATCATGTGACCTTCTAATTTTAAACATTTTTATTCAATATTCAATTAATTTTACCGTATAATGGTATTATTCTACATTTGTAAATGGAGGCTTAGCAGTTTTTCTAGTTTCTTTTTTATATGTTTTTTTTTCTGGCAAATCTGTAATTAGATTTGCACTACAGGAATCGGGGTTGAATTAAAACAAGTACTTGCTACATATACAAGAGGGTCTGGAGGGGGAGGTGTCCTTTATTTCTTTTTTTAAATTATATCTTAGACCATTAGCAAGTCTATTCTTCATTTGTTTTGTGCATTTTTCTCTATTCTTTACATTTCAAAACACCATTTTAAAATATGTTCTTTATTGTTGTTTGCCAATTTATTTCTTTTCTTTTATTTCATAGCCAATTATTCTTCTTATTATTTTTTTTCCCTATTTTTCTCTACCCTGCAAACTCCATCCAGACCCTCGATCAACTATATAAACTAAACAGGATGTGAGTAAAACAGTCGACTATATCATATCCACACGATGTCACTCTAGTATTACATTTTAATAAATAAAATAATAAAATTTAAATCATTATCGAAAAGAAAATCAAGAACAAGATAACTTGTACTAACCATATTCATTAATTTGATTTAAAATATTCTTTGGTCTCCAAATGAAATTAAACACAGAAACTAAAACCGGTTTTCTTTAACAAAACCCGTATTTAGTTTTAGCGTTTGATTTCATTTGTAATTTTTTGAAAAACCGGATTATGAAAACCGTATCTGGTTCTCTTGTAATCAAACAGGGAAAACGGTACTATTTATTCTGCCATAGGCGACAATACTAACATTTTCTAAATTTACCACTTTTTATAATAAAAACCTGGATAAAACAGTTATGTGTGGTGTTAGCACTTTATTATTCTATTTTAAAAATTGAAGCCAAATAGTATCATGACCAATTTCCAACGGAGCTTGTTTATGTTATCCATGCCCACCGTCATTTTACACCAAATTTATGAAATTTTGGAAGCCTTTTCAAATAATTCTCTAGAAAATATTTCAATAGGTATTAAAATTTATATTGTAAATATACACACTGCAGTTATTCATAGATAAATAAAAAAATATATTGTACCCTTACATCCAATCACAGCGCTCCTAATTTGACTTCCTTCACCTGCCTGGGAAAATGTAATAGTACCGTTTTCCCTATACTGTGACATTAAGATATGAAGAATTCTTATGACACCATTAATGCAATACTGGGTTATTGTGAAAACCTTGGCTATAATAAATACTTGTATGTCCCCATTACTTAAAGAAACATGGATCATTTTATGTCCCCACCCCTACATGCTGGTTTACCTCTTTCTCTACTTCTTTCATAAAGGCTTAATAAACAACCTGTATTCAATCATATCTTATCTTTTAAAAAAAAAATTATAAACAGTTCCATTTAAACAGATAAAAATGACATTTCCATTCAATTTGTATTCATTTTATCCAAAATTTATCACATAAGTACAAATTCAAGATTTTTCATACTAATCTCCATTCCATGCTTTAGTATATGCCATATTGTGGTTCAAAATTTCAGAGCTTGTTATAAAATCCATTATTCTGTCTTGAGATGATAAAAACAAAGATATTAGACACTTAAAACATTAAATATGCAAAGTACTCAGCTGTTAAGTTGCCTTTGTTGCCTGAATTAATCTATGAAAAAGCAGAATTATGTCCCTTGGGAGTATTGATTTCCAACAAAAGTCCTTTCACACAGAAGAAAATGAAAAATAATATATGCCTGATATAACAATAGATAGCAACTACAAAATGAAGCACTATTGAAATATTTGCTGCATGAATTGCCAAGAATGTGAACAATTCTTTACACAGGATAGCATAAATTCTATCTAAATTTAGCCTCAAGTGGGCCTCTTTCTTTCTTAAATGGACAATTTCAACACTGAAAATGCTTCTAGTATGACCAAATATTGCCTAACCCCATAAACAGTACAAACTTAACCCGACAATTTGCCATTTTAATAGATTATGCCTAGAGAAATACCCAAGTGATACATTTAGGGAATTACACAGCAAAAGAGGCAAATATTTCAGTTAAAAATATTTGTCGCGACTTGAATTCTGGTGTTTTCAATTGAATTAATCATTGCGAAAGGTGAAAACAACTACAAAAGAACCATAGTTTGGTGCATTTTATACAATATAGTTAATATTGAAATCCTAGAATAAAGTTTTATATCAGTACCCATCAATTTGACTTATTATGATGACTCAGCACTTTTCTCAACACAGTATTGTTCTCAGTTAAAAATTTCTATTCTTTGTGATAAAAATCAAATGTACTTATCAAATGCTTCAAAATAGTAAAATATGACTGAAGTTTGATTGATTTTGATTTCCCTTGCTATCTTGAGTATAGGGAAAACGGTACTATTTATTCTGCCATAGGCGACAATACTAACATTTTCTAAATTTACCACTTTTTATAATAAAAACCTGGATAAAACAGTTATGTGTGGTGTTAGTACTTTATTATTCTATTTTAAAAATTGAAGCCAAATAGTATCATGACCAATTTCCAACGGAGCTTGTTTATGTTATCCATGCCCACCGTCATTTTACACCAAATTTATGAAATTTTGGAAGCCTTTTCAAATAATTCTCTAGAAAATATTTCAATAGGTATTAAAATTTATATTGTAAATATACACACTGCAGTTATTCATAGATAAATAAAAAAATATATTGTACCCTTACATCCAATCACAGCGCTCCTAATTTGACTTCCTTCACCTGCCTTGGGTACACGAAAGGCCAACCTAATGCTGGGAAAATGTAATAGTACCGTTTTCCCAACACGACCTTACTGTTGTGAATTAAATGAGAGCACTTTGATTGGATGGTGTAAATACGGGAATTCCGTTATTCCAAAAATAAATGATTTTCACATTTTCGGGAAATTGATCATTTCTAAAAAATGTCGAATTTCAGAATTGAAGCAAACTTGCTAGTCGATTGTTTGTAAAAGAAGTAGTATGATTTTTGTTATTTCAATAACAGAAACCCATTGAAAATAATAACAGACGTACATTTAGGTGATATAATATTGCCTTTGACGGGGAATAATCAAGACAATTCATTACAAACTGTACATCTAATTTTACAAGCACAGTAAATATAGATAAATATTTGTGTAGAATTTACAATCCTTGGCTATGTAGTTCATGTATGTAAAGATATGCATTTTACTTGCGAAAACTTTTTTGCATTCAAGTTTGTTACAAAGATGTTAATATTTGCTAAATATCTTTACAGAGGTATGTATAATTTTGAGCGACCGCAGTTTACACAACATGTACATTTACAAAAAGGGTAAATGCTGTCAAATATTTGTGTTATATGTGCAATCCTTTTTTTTTTTTTGTAGTTCAAGAATATAAAGTTATGCGTTTTATTTGCAAAAGCTTTCTTGCTTCAAAGTTTGATACAGATATATTGTTATTTTTTTAAATATATTTACAGAGGAATGTTTAGTTTTGAGAGACCGCAGTTTACACAACATTTACAACTAGGTTAAATACTGTCAAATATTTGTGTTATATTTGCAATCATTTGTCTGCATAGTTCAAGTATGTACAGTTGTGCGTTTTATTTGCGAAAACTTTCTTGCATAAAAGTTGTTTTGGAAATATTTATATTTGCAAAATAGTTTTGATAGTCCGCGGTTTAATTTTGTATTTGTCGTTTTTATTTGTAAAGATTTGCATTCTATTTAGGAAACCCAACAATATTTTTTGTCATCTAACATGTCTAAATAGAATCAAACTTATTCATAAGAGGAGGTCAGAGTTGTTACCCAAACTTTAAATTTTCTTAAGTATAGTTTCAATATCTAATAAATTTTGGAAAGATGTTTCCTTTGGCATGTGAAAATAGTCATTTGCGATATTACCCTAGAGGTGGAATGCAAATTACTGGAAAGAAGTAA